TAGTCGTGCCCTCTGTTGGTGTGAGAGTGAAATAAATGTGCCGCTAAGATAAGTGTGTGGTCGTCACAGGTACTTACTGCACAGACTTGGAGGACTGGGACCTGAACTTGCTGAACTCGCCCGGAGCGGTCCATTCTGTACCCAGCTGCAACACACAGGACAGGAGACAGAGGTCACAGGTCAGAGAGTGGACGAGAAAGGAGGAGGAGAGAGCTGGAGAGCATAAAGGCAGCGGGAGAAATCGTGAAGCACAGTTTTTTTTTAAATTCTTCTCCGACCGTGAGCCAAAAACATCAAGCTCGCGATTATCCGGCGCTGACAGCGACTGTATTGGAAGATGCAGAAGCAGGATTACAGTCCCAGTTAGCCGGTGGACCTTGTCAACACATTTTAAACTCAGAAAACAGAATAATCAATTGAAAAGGACGCCGCAAGATTCCAGATAGTCTTCTTTGTTGTGACAGCGACGCAAATGAAGAATAATTGGGCAAAACAAGATATTATGGTCCTGAAGCAACAGGGAGGGTCAATCAGAAGGCGAGTTCTGACGGGCAAAGTGAGCAAACAGATGAGAACTAATGACTACGAGCAGACAGAAAATGAGAAAGAGGGATTCCCTGCCAATACCGACTCTGAGAAGCCAGCTCATCTGAACCCCCGGGGCTCCTGCTTTGGCCCTGTGGTCGAATCAGTGCCCATTCATTTCCTCAGCAAGCCAACACAGCTAATTAGGGCCCCTGCTGCTGCTGATCCATAATGAAAGAATACAGCTAAGATCACAGTGGGCATGCCTTTAATTGTTTGTGCTGGCCACGCTTCTGGGCTCCAAGCTGGTCAGAATGCATTGTGGCGTGCGGCGGTGACATATCGCAAGAGCCTTTCAGCTTGTAAATAGCCGCTGATCCTCGCTCTGGGTGCGGCCATGTTTTCACAGAGAGGGCCGCGCACGCTGTGACGCACACCTACAACACACAAACACGCATATATATACGAAATGGCAAGCGTACAATGGCACATCTGAATGTGTTTGCTGGCATGAGAAGAGAGCCGCTACGGGGAGAAAAAAAAAAACAAAAAAACAACCTCAAAACCAGGCAGTAATGTCTGTCCAAAACCAACCAGGCCCGTGGCAGCGCTCACGCCTCTGAGAGTCTCTGTGAGGCAGTTGGCTGGAGAGGAGGAGGACACAATGTGCGCTACTGTGCTTTCACTCTGAAGCCCACAGCATGCGGCTGCTCTAGTACATTTCCACACCAACAGTCTTTGCAAATATTCCTCCTCCGGCACAGACGAAGGAGGAACGGTAGGAGTTAAGTCACTGGTGGGGAATATTTAATAAAAAAAAAATTAAAAAAAAGCAGGAGAGGAGGGCAGAATGTGAAGCTAACTGAGCTCTCACAGAATAACTTACTGAGTTTGCATTAAAGATGAAATTGCGTCTTTCAAACACATTAATGCTCCGAAACCCAAAAGCCCTTCTGGCAGGTTTGAGCATGCTGTCTTTGAAAAACTGGCGAAATTACACCATTTATCAGAGCCTGAAACTGTAAAAACAGAAAGAAATGTTGGATTTTCAGCCTCGCGATGGTCTTTGAACTGCTAATCTGTGATTTTTTTTTTTCCCGAGACCAAATCGAAATCTAGATGTTTTATCTCCATGTGTCGTTTAAAGAGTTGCCAAAAATAATAAAACGATTTGCGCTAAACAGATTGTGTCAAAACAAAAGATCCTGCGCTCCTACGTGCGACCGAGAAGCCGTTAATGACTTGGCTGTGAGCAACAGTTAAGTGACAGAAATCCAGAGAGTTTTCCGCTGAGCTGCAGAGAGGAGACGATGACATGATGATAGGATGAGTGAAAGCAAAACATAGGTAGTAAACGTATAGTATCTGAAGTACGTAGAGCCACATTATTCCCCCAGTATCTGTAGCAGCTGCTGGCACCGTGTTGGTTTTAGGATTTTTCCGTTTTTGTAAAATAAATAATGGAAGACGGACAAGTTTCATTTTCTCTGTTTTTATGATTCATGGCATTCTGACTGCATCACACTGCAGATGATGTTTTTTTTTTCAGCTCTGTCTACATCTA